CGTGGAGATCATCCACTCCACCAGGAAGGGGTTCCATGTTAACGCTGGGCGCCTCGTAGAGCTGGCTGCGCAGCCGCATCGCCACTCGGCAGGGGAGCGAGAGATATAGAGGTTCACGACTGCCTCACGCGTGTCTCTCGTGTCAAGCACATCCCGGCGGTGTCGTTTATGGGTGGGGGGGGGGGGGCACCGAAGTCGGGGGTGCGAGTACAGCCCCGCGTGGCGTGAACTACAGAGGAGCCAGCTGGCGTGAACTACACGGACTCCGGCGCTACAGCTGATCACCGCGTTTGCGGCGAGCTTCAGCCACAACCGCCGGCTCGTCTGGCCGCCCCCCTCGACGACGGCGCCGAGGCCCGCCTGTTCACAGCTAGAGGTGTGAAGAGCCGCCGTTTACGCCCCCTCGACGACGGCGCCGAGGCCCGCCGCTGCGAAGCGAGCCGCTGCCAGCTCGGCGGAAGAGGAACTCGCGACTTCGGGCACTCCGGCCACTCTGGCCGCGCCGCCGCCGCCGCCGCCGCCGCCAGCCCGCAGCGGCAGCAGCGGCCCCACCCACGTCGTGCCCCTGCCGGCGTGCTGCACCTCTCGCAAGCCTTCCTGCCGGGGGGGGTGGAGCCAGGCGCCGTGCGTCGTCGTCGCCACGAGCAGTGCGCCGCCCGCGGGCAGCTGCAGCGAGTCGGCGAGGCTGAGAGCGCCGTTGCACAGAAGCACCACCACCGCGTCGGACTGGAGGCGCGATCTATGGTTGATTCGGAATGATGGGCGGATGACGTATCAAGGCACTGTAGCGTCGGGCTGGAGGCGCAACCGTACTCCCTCGAGTGCGGCGGCGGCGCCATAGGCCTTGGTAGCGATGACGAGCGTCCCGATCGGTGTCGTCGCGCTGCCGGAGGACGGCTCGAGCCGCACGCACGCCTCGAGTGCCTCGTCTACCGGGCCGGCCGCCTCTCCTGCACGCAGGCGGTGGACACGCAGGCGCAGCCGGCTGGCCTGCAGCGCCGTGGTGCCCTCCCGGAGCAGCAGCGTGGCGGCGGGGCAATGCGCAGCCCACAGCGTGCCGAGGGCGCCGCCGCCGAGGATGTGCATGCGATTAGTTGGCACCAACGCTAACCGCTCCTTGGCTAATTGTACTGCTTGCTTTCGGGAGAGCGTTCGCCTGTGCAGGAATCCGGCAACGCAAGCGCTGGGCGCAAGCCCGCCCAGGACCTGGGTTCCAACTTTTTCCCGGGTATGGTATGGTAGCGTCGCGGCCCAAAGGGGTAGGGGGTATGGTCCTGCCCGCCCAAGACTAGCCCTACCATACCCCCAAGCAGGTCTGCCAGCAGGCGGGGGGGTATGGTCTTGAGCTGGCATGCGCGACACTACCATACCATACGCCGGAAAAGTTCTACCTACCTACCTACCTGGAACCCTACCTGGCCGGGTCGAAAGGAAAAAAATAAAACCTCCCTCCGTCCGCTGTCGTCTGTTGTTTGTTGTGCCCTTGTTTGTGCCCTTGGCACCGTGGAGTGCTGGGGGGGGCGACAGGAAGGATGTGGCCCTGAGTTATGTGTACGCCGACTCAGGGTGTGTGGCAGCCAGCTGGCTGTGTGTCTTGTGAGCCTGTTTGTGTCTGTGTGTCGCTCGTGCGTGTCGTCGGTCTCGGGAACCGTACCCATACTACTCAAAAGTACAATATACTACCACAAAGCACCACTAGCGATTTCGCGCGGAGGGCGTAGTGAAGCGCTGGGGCGCTCACTGTGTGTTATTCGGGTGGGGATCCATCAGTGGTAACCGGCTTTAGTCACAGATCCAAGCTCAGACGCCACACCAACACCACAAACACGCTCACTTCGCCGCTGCTGTAGAGGGCCCCCGGGGGCCCATACTACGTCGAAGTACGGACCCGATCTCGGCCCTCACGGGCTGCCACGCGCCCGCGCGCGGCGCGGGCCGCACCGCCCATGCCCCCGGGTCACCGACCCCGCCTCTCGGCCCTCTCGGCCCTCAGGAGCGTGCGGGAGACCGGCGAGGGGCGCGCCGCGCGCCGCCTGCAGAGCCGCCAGAGGCATTGTCGCCTCCGCTGGCGGGGTTCCCGCGCGCCCGCCCGCGCCCGGACCCGCGCCCGCTGCGCCCGCGGGCTCCGGATGCGCCGCCATCCTTCTCCTTCTTCTCGATGGCAGTCCGCGTGTGCTTGTCGACGGGTCGGCGGCGTGGTCGAGGGGAAGGTCGCCGGCGGCCGCAACTCCGCCGCCGTCGCTCCGCCGGCTCTGACCGAGTATCGGGCGTTGAGGGCGGCGGCGCAAGCGGGTCTGGCGCATCTATCGCCACGAGCCTCGCGACCGCGGTCGTGGCACACCTGGCGGCGGCTCTCGAGGCCGTCTCTACGGCGCTCGACGCCGTGTGAGGTCGCCGGCGGCCGCAACTCCGCCGCCGTCACTCCGCCGGCTCTGACCGAGTATCGGGCGTTGAGGGCGGCGGCGCAAGCGGGTCTGGCGCATCTATCGCCACGAGCCTCGCGACCGCGGTCGTGGCACACCTGGCGGCGGCTCTCGGGGCCGTCTCTACGGCGCTCGACGCCGTGTGAGGTCGCCGGCGGCCGCAACTCTGCCGCCGTCGCTCCGCCGGCTCAACCGAGTATCGGGCGTTGAGGGCGGCGGCGCAAAGCGGGTCTGGTGCGCCACACGGCCACCACCCTTGCCAGCGCCCTTGCCGCCGCCCTTGCCACCCTTTGCCGCCTTGCCTCCGCCGCGGGCGGCGGTGGGAGCGGCCTGCTGGGCTAGCATGTTGTCCTTGCTGGGGACGGGCATGTGGAACGCACGTTACATGTTTGAACGGCCTCCAGAATTCAAACAAAAAATAGCCAAGGCCTTCTCGCAACCCCTCCGACCCCCCGGGACCCGTGGGCGTCGAAGAGGCGCTCTCGGGGGGCCGTTCTGAGTTCATACTACCTCGAAGTACAATATACTGCGTCAAAGCACCGGCCCTGAGTCCGTCGTCATCATCTGTCTAGCGTCCACCCATACCGCGTTGGTGTCCAGTCCGAGCCTGGCTGTTCTTCACCTTTCTACCTACCTACCTACCTACCTAAAGGGGTAGGGGGTATGGTGCTGCCCGCCCAAGACTAGCCCTACCATACCCCCAAGCAGGTCTGCCAGCAGGCGGGGGGGTATGGTCTTGAGCTGGCATGCGCGACACTACCATACCATACCCCGGAAAAAGCTGGAACCCTACCTGGCCGGGTCGAAAGGAAAAAAATTAAGATTAGACCTCCTCCGGGCATGTACGACACCGCCACAATAAGAAAAAGAGCAGCCGTGACGTAATCCGCCAACGACTGCGCCGCCGTGCCGGAGAGCCGCCCTGCTTGCAACTCCATGTCATTTGCGAACACTCAGGACCGGAGCTCTTCACGTCGCCTCATCGCCACCTTGTTTCCTTCGTGGCCAGCCTCGCCAAGGGGCTCTCCTCCCGCTCGCGAGAAGCCCGAGCCCGTCTCGCCCTTCCGGCTCGGCGGCCGCGCTCCGCTTGGCGCCGGTGCCTGCGGCTCGGTTTTGCCCGCGAAAGACGTCCGAACGGGCGAGAGGGTCGCCATAAAGCTCTCCAACCGGCGCTCGAACCACCAGGACTTGGTACGAGAGGCCAAGGTGCTCGAGAGGCTGAGCCGCTGCCCTCACCCGAACGTGATCGCGTTGCATGCGCACGGCTCGGCGGAGGCGCTCCTCGAGGACAGCAGCCGGCTCAGGGTCGCCACGGAGGGCAGCTACGCCATCGTGATGGAGAGGGCGCGCGGCGACCTCTTCGACCACATCAGTCGTTGCGGCGCGCTGAGTGAGGAGGCCGCGCGCGCATTATTCGCGGGTGTGGCGGCGGGGCTCGCGCACGTCCACTCGTGCGGCGTCGCCCACCTCGACATCAAGCTCGAGAACATCCTGCTGGCGTCCAAGGGCAAAGGCGGCAAGCGCGGGGCCTCCTATGCCGGCTGCTCGGCCAAGCTCGTCGACTTTGGGCTCTCGTACTTGCACAAGGAGGGCGTGCTGCCCGTCGAGAAGGTCGCCCCCCTCGCGGCGGCCCTCGCCGCCCCCCCCCCCTCGGCGCACGGCCGGAGCCGGCTGCGCGGACTCGTGGGGTCCGCAGGCTACGTGGCGCCCGAGGTTGTCGACTCTGAGTCGGCCGACGTGTGCTACGACGGCTTCGAGGCGGACATCTGGTCCCTCGGCGTCGTCCTCTTCGAGGTCCGCCCCTCCGTCCCCTCCGTCCCCTCCTCCGTCCCCTCCTCCGCCCTCCTCCCCTCCCCCCCTCCTCTACCACCCCACCCACTACCGTCTCCCCCTCGCGCTGCGCCTCTTGCTGTACGCCCCCCCTCGGAACCTCCTCGGAACCTTCTCGGAACCTTCTCGTAGGTGCTTACCGGCGCCCCCCCCTTCTCGGGCTACAAGTCGCACCGCCGCTCGTTCGCCAAGGAGATTGGCGCACTGGCAATGGTGCAGATCGAGGGCCGCTCGGCGACCCGGCGCGCGGAGATCCGGGGAGATGAGTGGGGAGATCAGGGGAGATGAGGGGGGAGATCCGGGGAGATCAGAAGAGACGGCGAGGGGGAGGAGCGCGGAGGCCACTCGGTGGATGTGTGGGGAGATGTGGGGGCCTCGGCCATACCTCGGCCACGCCTCGGCCGCATCTCGACCATCTCTCCGCCGCATCTCGCAGGTCCATCTTTAGCCGGCTCGGCCGCTGCTGCACCCTGACACCGGCCGCGGTGGACCTGCTCGACGGGATGCTCTGCGTGAGTCCGAGCAAGCGCCTCACCGCGGCAGAGATTCTGGCCCACCCGTGGCTGGAGCGTCGCCCCCGCCGCCAAGTGCAGTCGCGCTGGGGCCGAGGCCGCCGCGGCTCCGCGCCGGCGGCGGCGGAGGCTGCGGAGGCTGCGGAGGCGGCAGAGGCGGCAGAGGCGGCAGAGGCGGCGGCAGAGGCGGCGGTGCGACGGGAGGCTCGAGCCGCGTCGGCGGCCAGCGTGGCCGCCCGCATGTCTGCAGAGGGCCTCCCCGCGCCGTCTCCTCGTCGCTCGGAGGCCTTCGCGCTTCCGGAGGCAGAGGCCGTGCGGTACGCGGACGGCATCGCCGACCGGATGTCCAAGGTGCTGGTGGAGAGCATGCGCGCGACCGCGCCGGACGAGGAGGCGCCGAAGCGGGGCCCATCGACTGCGTCTGGCACTAGCTCAAGCAGCGGCGGCGGCCGCGGCCGCGGCAGCAGCGGCGGCTGCGCGGCGGACGACGAGATGAGCGTGCCGCAGCCGCGCAGCGCCGCCACCGGAGCCGCCATTAGCTCGGAGTCGGAGGACGAGCGCAGCCTCCGCCGCACCAGCCTGTGCCGCGCCAGCCTGCGCCGCTCGGAGCAGAGGGCCAGCGAGGCGAGCCTCGGCGGCAAGCGCCACGTCAGGTTCGACTCGCCCCGCTCGCCCATCGATTTGTGAGTTTTGCTGGCGGTGTCTCCGCTCGCAGGCTGCAAATTCGCACCATCGACGGGACAGGAGCGAGATTTGTTTATTTGTTTATGTAGTGACGAGGAGACGAGAGTGCGCTCTCGGACGTGTTCATTGATCCCTTGTCTCTCTCTGACTCAGACATTTTGTTTGTTTATGTAGTCAAACATTCGAATTTCGAAGTGAGTGAAAAGTGTGAGTGAGCAACACACACGGTGATTCACACACACACACACACACACACACACACACACACACACACACACACACACACACACACACACACACACACACACACACACACACACACACACACACACACACACACACACACTACACACACACACACACACACACACACACACACACACACACGGCTCCGGCTCAGGTCGTGGGGCATAGCTCGGGTGTAAACGGGGTCTGGGGAGGAAGCCCCAGCGGCCCGCCGCAGGCGCCGCCGGAGGCTGGCCCGCCGCAGGCGCCGATTTTTTGGCGTTTTTTCTCAAAATTGAGGGATTTCTCATCTAAATTCTCATCCAAAATTGGAGCTCGCTACGAGCTTTTAAACTGCACAGCATCTCCTCGTTGAGCCTAGCGGCGCCCGTATCGCCCACGCCCACATTCCTTTTTCTTGCCCTTGGCCCTTGCTGCACTCAGCCGCTCAACCTCCGCCAGTCTCTCCTTGCTCGTTGCTGGCGCTGCCGCCCCCAGTACTGCGATTGCAGCTCCTTGGCATGCCGCGCCGCCTCCATCTGCTGTGCTTCCCACGCTGCCGCTTCCTCTAAAGCAGCGCCGCCACTAAGCGGCGCAACCAAGTTCTCGCACTGTTTGCATGAGCATGTGTCCTGCTGGTGCGGCGCACAATCCGCGCGCGGCGAGTGAGAGTAGAAGACTGACAGCAGGAGCTGCAGGAGCTGCAGGAGCTGCGCAGATCGGATGGGTGGTGACGCCGTCGAGCGACGGCGCAAAGACCAATCACCACCGCTGAGAGCCGCGACACGAGGCTGCTGGCAGCTGCACCTGTGAGAGCCGCGACACGAGGCTGCTGGCAGCTGGCAGAGCGAATCGCGATTCCGGCGGCCGCCGTCAGCCCGCCGACACCGACGGCCTGTCTGAGGTCAAACTCCCACCGCACGTCGGACCAGTCGTGCGTCAGCCATGGCGACGAGACGTCTGTATGCAGACAGCCCGCCACCCGGGCGATAGAACATGCCAGCTGGGCTCTTCCAGGGCTCTCGTGGCCCGTGGCGCGTGCCCAGTGGAATGCCCGGGGCGGGGCGGGGCGGGGGGGGGACAATGTCTTCGGGGGTACGGCGGGCGCTTAGGCGGAAGTTCTTTTCCCCGAGGAAGAAAAATAAAAGAAGGGCTAAAAATAATAAAACACATCGGAATTCCCTCTCTCGCACGCATACGAATCTTTCTTTTTCTTCACCCACTGCAAGCCCTGGCACGTGTGGGTCGTGAACTGGCCGACACGCCCTTGTCGCTGCCACGATCTCCGAGGCCTCCGGCTTGCATCCTATTGCCGCGCCATGATCAGCATGGATGGGGTGCCTCGGCCGCAGGCCACGCCGGAGACCCCTGACGCGGAGATGGACACTGGCGAGGACATGTACGCGGGCTCCGCTGCGGCTGCGAACTGCGCGGGCGGCGAGGTTTCGCGGCACTCGAGGTGCGCGACGCTGCTCGGCGATGCGCAGCAGCGGCTTGCTCCGCGCGGCGATCTTGACGCGTGGCGCGCCCCTTCCCTCGCGCAGGCTCGCGCGCAAGGCGGAGAGCGCGCGTCAGGCGCGGCTTCGCCACAAGCAGTTTGTGCAGGAGCTGCAGGAGCAGGCGCGCGCTGCTCCCTCCCTGCGGCTGCACACCCTCTGCCCCGCCGCGTGGTCCTCTTACCGGCAGCGCGCGCCGCGGCGGCGGAGCCTTTTCGCGGCCGTCTCGTCCCATGCTCTCTGTTCTGCGTTTGCTGCGCAGGTCTCGACGCTGACGAACCGGATCGCTCAGCTCGAGTCGCAGCCGTCGGCCTTTGCGGCGGTGCACGAGCTGCGGGGCGCGCTGAGCCAGGAGCAGCTGACCACGCTGCTGGGCTGGTGCGCTCACTGCCGTCGCCGCACCGCCGCCGCCCCCTCCTCGCTCTCGCGCGCCC